CTTATTATGTATTTTTATTATGTATTTAGAGACTTGGTCCCATGAAAAAATAAATAAATAAATAAAAAATGAAGTGAAAAATCATTAAAAGAGCTATATATCCAAAGAGTCAAAAAAATAAGAGATGTAAACATAAACACATGACTAGTTGTGAAGGCTCATTGAATATTTGCCAACTATGGTTCAACAAACAATTCCCATTTATCTCCATGAGAGCAATCTTATTTCTCCTTGCTAGCTCAAACTTTCCTCTGTGTCCCATTTTATAGAGATATGATATCGCCACATGTGGTCGCAAACTCACCACGATTGATCGCCTTCTCTTCCGGACAAATTAATCTGAGCTATATATACACTACACTGAAGTAGCTCTTGTCGACCGATCGACCGGCTGTGAAAATCGAACGAAGTAAGCATCTTTTTCGACTCGTACTCCGAAAATCGTATGGCATTTGGTGAATTGATTTAACCTAGTTTTTGTGCGTTATATGTTATGGTCCAATACATATATATAGACTTTGATGATTATGTATATACCTTATTCTAGGGTTGTAGCTAGCATAAATCTCATCATCTTCTCCATACAAACTACTTTTGTGGTCCTTATAAGTTTTTTTTTTTTTTTTTTCTATGTCTCTCAACTTTCTTTCTTTCCAAAGATAAAAGAAGAAGAGGAAAGAACAAACCATCTTCACACACACACACAACACAAACACTATATAATTTTTTTTCCTATGTCTCTCTACTTTCGTTCTATCCAAAAAACACAAGAAAAAGAAGAATAGGAAAGAACACACACACACACACACAAAATCATAACTTCTTTTTTTATTCTCTTTCTTCTTTTGCTATCCATTAATTAATGCAGGCCAAATGATCATCATCATCAACCCATCCTCCACAACAAGATCATCATCATCATCAAGAACACGAAAATAACCCGAGTAATCGTAACACCCACACACACAAAAAAAAAAAGAATGTCGGAACCGAACAAGAAACACCAATTAATCGACAACAAATTCTCCTCCTCCTACTCGTCTTCGTCGACTCTGCAGTCGACCCTCCGAAACCCTAGGATCGTGCGGGCCCCGCGCGACTCCGGCGGGAAGGACCGGCACAGCAAGGTCTCCACCCTCCGCGGGCTCCGCGATCGCCGGATCCGCCTCTCCGTCCCGACCGCCATCCAGTTGTACGACCTCCAAGATCGCCTCGGCCTTCCCCAACCGAGCAAAGTCGTCGATTGGCTACTAGACGCCGCTAAAGAAGACGTCGATCGACTACCCCCACTCCCCGCCATCCCCGGCCTCCTCCCACCGCCGGCGCCTGCTACCGGCGGACCTCCGGCGACGGCCGCTGCCTTCGCCGGAGGGTTTCAAAACTTCTTCCCGACGGGCGGCGGGCAGTGCTTCGCGCTGCCCTACGACGGGACGGGCAGCGGCGGCGGGACTTATTACGGCGGTTGGGATCCTGCGGCCGGCCTGTCGTTGGCCGGATTTGGGGAGGAGAAAATGGCGGGTTTTGGAACAGGTTCCGGTTTAGGTTCAGGTTCGGGTTCGGGTCGCCAGTTGTATTTGTGCCCGCCGGCGAATGGACTCCCGCCGGGCACGGTTTTCGCTCCATTTGCGCCGGAAAACGAGCAGTCAAGGCAGATCAACTTCATGCAGAATTGAACTTTTACTAGTTTTCTCTCTCTCTTTATATATATATATACAGTAAGATTCATAAGTGATTCATTTTTTTTTTTAATTTATGTTATTAATTTCTTGTGCTAGATCAATTGTGCTATTTTCGACATGCATATTACATATGTAGACTGGATTTGTGATTTGTTGTCATTATAATACTGTTATAATGTATATATATTAGCTTCAGATTATTACTGAATAGTGTTAAAATGTATGATATTTTGCCCAATAACTTTCAGAAAATATTTCAGAAAATGTATGATAGCTAATTAAATAATTAACAATTTGCCTAAGTTAGTAGACCTTTTGAAAGAGAAAATTGCAATTGTAGTCCAGTAACTTAGGCTGTTTCCCATTTTAGTCCACTAACTTAGGCCGATCCAAATTTGGTTCAAAATTAAACTCCCAAAAGTTAGTTAAATTAGTCCAATTGGACTAAAATTGGACTGAAATTGACCAATCAATTGGACTGAAATTGGACTGATTTAACTAACTTTTGAGAGTTTTTGGACCAAATTTGTACCGGCCTAAGTTAGTGGACTAAAATGGGAAACAGCCTAAATTTTTGGACTACCTTTTGGGAGTTTTTGGACCAAATTTGGATCGGCCTAAGTTAGTGGACTAAAATGGGAAACAACCTAAGTTACTGGACTAAAATTGCAATTTTCTCCCTTTTGAAATTAGCTTTTTTTTTTTTTT